TCTGCATCTCGGTCAAGCCCTCGGCCGGTGCTACGGCTTTCGTGACATCGGTAACCTCCATTGATCTTCCAACCTCCACCAAGCCTGGAATTTCAGGTGTTAGCTCCTCCGTGCTGTTAAGAGGCAAGTTCACTTTCTGCACTTCTCCCACATAACTCTTCATTAAATTGTGGTGGTAAATGACAACCTCTCGGCATCTTCCTTTACGTTCCAGTGCATAATTTGTGTCCGAGAGCTTTTTCACAACCCGAAAGGGCCCCTCCCATTGAATCTCCAGCTTATTTATTTGCTCGCGAGAGGCGCAAGACCATTACCTGATCGCCTTCCTGATAAGCTTTCAGTTTCGCGTTTCGATCGTAGTAGCTCTTGGCTCTACTTTGCGCCTCTCTCATGTTCGCCTCAGCAATGTCGCGAGCACACCACAGCCTTTCCAGTAATTCCAGAATGTACTCGACCACCGTAGGGTCTGTACTCTTCGACTCCCAGGTTTCGCGCAAAAGTCGCAGTGCAGACCTGAGCGTCCGTCCGTAAACCAGCTCTGCGGGGCTGAAACCCGTTGCTTCATGAGTGACCGATCTCAGCGCAAACAGCATTGCCCGAAGACAAGCATCCCACTGACACTTCCTTTCAAAGATAAGGGCTCGCAGAACTCGTTTCATCACGGAATGACACCGCTCTACACTATTGGACTGCGGGTGGTACACGGAACTGTGGATTATTTTCATTCCACACTTTTCCAGGAATCCCGTAGTGAGAACGCTGGTGAATACTGAGCCCTGGTCGCACTGTATCTCCTGAGGAAAGCCCACTCTCGAAAAAATAGACAGTAGTGCGTTGACTACCTCTGCGGAGCTTTGCTCCTTCATTGGGATGGCCTCAGGAAATTTGGTTGCTGGACAAACGGCGGTAGCCTGACTTTGTCACTGGGAGTGGTCCCACAACGTCTATTACCAGCCGGCGAAATGGCTCCGAAATGAGCGGAACAAGCTTAAGTGGTGCCTTTCCCTTCTCGTGCGGTTCTCCCACTCTCTGGCAGGTGTCACACGCTCTTACGTGGTTCTCAACTTCTTTGAAGCATCCTGGCCAATAAAACTCCGTTAGGAGTCTATCTTTGGTCTTCTGAGCTCCTAAATGCCCCGTCCAACCAACTCCGTGACAGAGATCCACAATGTCAGGCCGATACTTAGCCGGCACTACAATCTGGTCGAACGTGCGATCTTTTGCAGTCCGGTAGTGGCGGCACAAGATGCTATTTTTGACAGGAAAACTGACATTCTTTCTCGCCACCGCTTCCCTGACGATGTTCCAAATCTTCTTAAGGCTGTGATCGCTTTTTTGCTGCTCGATGAGCTCGTCTCTTGTCACTTTCCCCAGTACATTGCTTAGTGCTTTTGATACCGGCAACACGAGCAGCCCCTCCTCCGATTTCCTTTCCGCTGTATAAGCGCTAGTCTGCTTCTCTGACCCCTCTCTTTCTTTTTCAGTAGGCGACGGGATAGCAGGCTCCGCTGCGCTGACTCCAGCTGGTGTTGCTGAACTTCCGGTGAAACTCTGTTCTTGCCGCTCTAGTTCGGCTGCTAACGCTCGTGCTTTAGCTCTAGTCAAGGCTTGTACTGTTCCCTCGTGAAAACTTTTCCCATGTTCTCTCAGCAGATGGTCGGTCCGATTCGAGAACAAATAGGGGTACTGCGGGGGCAGCTTGTCTGACACCGCCACTTCCGTCTCCACTTCTATGAACGGCCCTGTGATGATTACTCGAGCTACCGGAAGACAAATGCTTCCATCTTCCAAAACTGGTTTAATCCATGCGCACTTGCCGTTGTAGTCTGCTTGTGCCACATAGTCCGGGTGCACCAGATCCATGGTTGCCCCACTGTCTCGTAAGGCGCGGCACGGCTTTCCGTTCACTGTTAGGTTAAAAAGGTACGGATTAAGAAGCTCCTCGCTAGTGGCTGAGTCAGAAGTATACGAAAGGGCTGGCCTGGGCCTACGACAGCCTACGGCAATATGCCCTTCCTCCTTGCAGTTGTAGCAAGTAGGTGGTTTCCGAGCCTCAAAAGGACTTTTTGGAAGAATCCCCCGAAACCTTTCCCTCCTGTTTGTTTTGTGATGCTTGACCACTTGCAGCGAAGTCCGTCTTTTTCTGTGCAGTCGTACCTGCGCCAGCTCCCTGCTTCGCCGTCCAAGGTTTCCCTTTATCTCCCGCTTTTGTTGGAGGAATCTCGTCTCTTTCTACCCGGCGTGACGCGTACTCGTCAGCCAAGTCGGCCGCTGCCTGTACTGTTTCTACGCCGGCTCTATCTTGGATCCAGAGCTTCATTGGCTCGGAAAGTTTTGAAAAAAACTGTTCGAGAGCCACTACTTCAAGAGCCATTTCGAAGTGCCCAAAAGCGTTGGCTCCTTTCATCTATTCCACTAAGTTGACCTTCAACTCGTAGGCAAACTCAGAATACGTGCTGCCCTGCTTCTTTGTCAGATTGCGAAACCGCTGGCGGAACGCGTCTGGCGAAAGTCGGAACCTTTTTAGAAGGCTATCCTTCACTTTGTCATAGTTGTCTGCATCCTCCACCAGAAGCCGCGCGATCACATCCGCTGCTTCACATGGCAGCAAACTTAACAAATTTCGAGCCCATGTGCTACGACCAAGCTTCGATTTTTCACAGGTTCTCTCAAAGTTCACAAGAAAGAGGCCCACATCTTGCCCTATTTTGAAGGGTTGCATTAGTTTAGATAAATCACAAAGATTTTGTCTGCCTGCTACCTCCACTCTTTGAACCCCTGCGATCTTCCTCATTTCCACTTCGAGTCGCAACTCTTCTATCTCCAGTTCTTTTTGCCTTAGCTGGCACTCCTGTTGCTCCCGTTTTTCTTGGCGTTCCTGTTGCTCTCGCCTTTCCTGACGCTCCTGTTCCTCACGCCTTTCCTGACGCTCCTGTTCCTGTCGCCTTTCCTCACGCTCCTGTTCCTCACGCTTTTTCTCGCGCTCCTGTTCCTGTTGCTTTTGAATCTCGTTCCATGTTGTTTTAATATCTTCACTGCTCAGATTCAAGCCATCCATAGCGCTAACAATTGCGTCTTTCTTCATCCCCGCATCTGCTTCTGCTCCCAGCTCCTCCCCCAGAATCAGGAGCTGATTCTTCAACAAACGCTTCTAATCCATGACAGAGAACTAGTGTGGTGCAGCTCACTCTCTACCCAGAAGTTCCGTAAATAACTGCTTCTGCGGTAGCCTCTACCAGCGAAAAGATTGCACTTCTATCTTATCAGCCTGGTAACCAAAAAATTAAAGCCAGCACTCACCAGTCCACAGCTGCCAGTCTCCATGATCTCGGCATGTTGTTCATTCTTCGTCCTCCAGGCTCACATCCAACCGCTTGCCATCCAGTTGTAGCGCGTCGTAGCGACCGCAGTCTGCGGGTAGCGGGGCTGGTCGCCGTCGCTCCGTCGAGCCAAGGACTAGGGGAGAGCTTTGAGCAAACTCAACGGATTTATTTACATCTTTACAGTGAGTTGTCGAGATGAAGACCGAAGAGAGTTGGGCGAGGCGCTGCACGCCCTTTTTGTTGACCCCCGTTCCCTAGGTCCCTAGGTTGGGGATCACTACACAAAACAATGCGGACCAATGGTGATGTGGAAGTTCCTCTCAGTGAAGTACCGCCCTCGGAAATGTGCACGCCCGTCATGTATGTTCATAGAGGCACAACACTGGCTTGCACATACACACACACCCTTGCCACTAGTCGCAGCGCTGCCGTAGAACAGGGAGGGGGAGAGCGGAAGACGCACGGGCGCCTCGACCCCTTTGGTGCCGGCCTCGCGCTGCGTTCCCACGGGAAGATTTTAGCGCGCCCTTTCGAGAGGTGCCAGTTCGTGGAATCCTCTGGGGAGAGCCCTTTGACCAGCGCCGTCGTCGTCGTCTGCTGGTTAACGCACCAACGTGATGCGTGGCCCAGGCGGGAGATAGAGCGGCGGCTCCATAACCCTCTTTTGCAACATTCCACACAGTTGGCGCCGCTGTCCATCAGTGGTCGCCGTCTCATGTAGTCGGCCCCTGTTGCTTGCTCCGTCCAGCCATGGCGAGACTATCCTTTTGGCACTGGTCCGGCGGGGCGAATGACCCGCTGGGTCAAGGCATAGCTTGATCGCTACAGCATACTAATCTTCCTCGTCAAAGCACGATGCATATTCTCCAGGACAATGTTTTCACCACACCGTCGATATTTGAATAGTGAAGCTCGGCTCCGCCTCATGCGATTGACAGTGGCGAGCGGCGATGCATAATCATCGGCATGGTACTCAAAGACTGCACACTTTCGGCCTTTTAACAGCCACCTTGTGCTCTTTAGGTGCAATATTAAAGCATTTCCTGTGGAGTCTTAACATAGATATTTTGTTCAGAACAGTAGATGTACTAATCTTGACAAAACAGGTAAAAATGAAGAATTGGCAGCTTTTTTAGAAAACTCGTGTTTTTCAACCTGCATCTCCTCTTAATGCACTATATTTTGCTCATTGTCATAGCACAAAACAAGAAGTGTGCAACTTACTGCAAAACTACTTTCATAATTGAAATCAGCATAAAAGCTTATATATACAGCGAAAAATTTTATTTCCCTAGCATACAGATTCACATAACTTCTTTTTTTAATCACATCTCCCCTTAGAGATGCAAGCTTGTGGTACTTTTATTTTGTCATGTGGTACACCTCTGTGTCATTGTGATGTGATGCGTGAACACTTGTAAAATATTGGGGCAACCTCATTTAGGTGCGGCTGCAAGTTTGCAAACTCTGTGATTAAAGTTGCTGACATTCATATTTCTGACATTAATATTGGTGTATCATTTTTCTCCACATTGGGGGGGGTTTTCTTGGGAAATGTTGGTTCCCACTCGGCTCGCCAGACCAGAAGTGTGAAACATGGTAGTATGTTGAAGATGGATCTTCCACAGAGTAAACTCTCTATCTGGCACACTGTGAGTGGTGTCGTGATGTGCGTAGGAAAAGTTCGGGCAATCCGCTGGGCAAAAAGGCTGATGCAGAGGTGGCACAGACTTACACCTGGATTCAGAGCCATCTCGAGGAAGACCCGGAGACATCGCTGCCAAAGCAGGAGGTCTATGAGGAGTACAGGTGAGCATGAGGCCACCGGCTGGATTCCCTGGCCGCAGTGTGCTGTTCTGGCAGGGGTGCAACAATATTGGAACATGCTTGCTAGACATCGCTAGGTGAACACTCGGGAATGCTGTGCGGCCACATTAAATATTATTCTCTCTCCACCTTGTCATATCTGTCCAAAGTGGAGTACTTTTTTGCGATAGCATGGGCAATAACTTAAAACAGTGGGCATAAAATTGACCATTTCACCATAATGACAACTGAAGTTTGACAGAGGCATTAGATAAGCAGGTAGTGTTATTTCAGTACTGGCAAATATGCAGGTTGTTAGGGATGGTCCAATAACTCTCTGTAGGTGCCCCTAATAGTAGTATGATAAAAAGTGTGCAAAATACTGTAAAACAGGTGCTTTTCTTGTAGCCTTATTCACCTTGTTTCACGTTGTTTTTTACTGCTTTTATCATCATGAATTACCAACTCATCAATGTATTCTTTTAAGAAATACCAATAGGCATAAATGATTGTGGTATGCCTTTGATTTCTCAGGTTATTCTGCATCTGTCAGTAAAGTTTGGGACAGCACCCACCCTACCCTTAGGTAACATTTCGATGTTCAGCGTGGTCCAATGTAAGAGAATTTTGTCAACTTAGAGCTTGTAAAAATGTTATCCCTCTGGCCAGTGTACTATCGCCCAGCGTTCTGGAAGCTAACTTGGGGTTGGAGGTGCTAACACATTTGTTCACACCTGAAATAGTACACCGACATCAACAGAGCTGGCACATCAAGTTATAGAGCCAGCACACCGGCAGATGCATGGTCTTTTTAACAGCAAATCAAACTTCAGAAATTTTAATAAATTCGGTTTCATTAAATAAAGGCTCATTTGTACCTTTATAAAGGTTAAAGAAGAGGCACTTTTTGGCAATGTGCAATTGATAAACCTATTAAAACATATGCGTACATGCCATGCTGAAACTCATGAGCCAAAATGCTGGTGAGCATCTAAAATGTTCGCCATTGCTCCTTGGTGCCATCCCATATTGTGGCACTGTCGTCGACTCATACTAATTAAAAACGTTCAATCTCTACAACAATGTCTGTTTGAATTGAAATAAATTTAGCTTTTTTTTTTCATGAATGGTTTGTTAGCACATAGCATTAGGGCTGTTAGAGTGTAAAAATAATTTTTTTGCTATGGCACTTTGGTCTAGCTAAATAATGTTAAACGCAGTTTTATGTTCAGTGAATAATCCGTGCATTTGGTTTGTCTTTACTTCTTTTCATCGTCATATTGTCATACTTAATAGAATTAGCTGAACTGATGGTGGTAAGTTTCTGAAAATGCTCGTGCACATAGCATATGACATCCATGTGAATTGAGCAGGTGTACGGTAATTGAGCGCTTATTATGGCCAAGTAACTGTGTCGGGATTAAGCTGATGTTTCGTTTTGATTCTGCTGGTTCACCATGACGTGCTGTTCATGGACAGTATTACATCATAGGCATGCAAATCTTTTCATGAGAAGCAGTGCTTTCTTAACATACAAGCTATTTAGTAAACAACGTTTCAATGCTCCTACCAAGTACAGCCATATAAGTCTTAGCTTTTGTGCCGTGTAAGTTTAGATTCGGCTCTAGCTTGCGACAAAGCTTCCGTGGAATTTCAACTTTCCCTCTGTTTGCTTTACCGCAGTACAATTTGCTTTTGATGCACAGGAGCTTCTTCGAGAAGAACAAGATCGAGCCACTCTGTGCTGCCGACTTCGGCAAAGTGATGAAGCACGTGTTCCCAACGGTGAGACCGCGACGACTCGGCACTAGGGGAAACTCTCGGCAAGTATTTTCAACCAACGTTTTATTTACGTGTAACATTTCTTGCCGCAATGGCACGAGCGCATGATGCTCTTCTTTCGTGGAAATGCCCCTCTCCTACTCTGCGGCTACAAGTGGTTTTGCGGGAGTTGTTGGCGGCGTCAGTTACGGTGGGAAATGTCATGGTTTTCCCACACACGGCCTTCGGGGATGCCGGACGTGTGTGCACTTTCGCGCTAAAATGTAACCGAAAACATGGCTAATAACAAAACAACTTCTTTTGCCCGGTAACCCATAGACATTATATAATGGCAGCGTGCTCTCCACCGTGAAAACGAAACTGTGCTGCTAGCTGTCACATAGTGAAGCGGCAACACGCAGTACTGGCACAGTCCTGGATAACTGCAATTGTTAGAGTGATACTAACGAACTTGCTATCACAGGCTGAGTTTGTGCTACCAATACATCATTCGTAAAGCAGGTCAGAACATGTCAATCGAGTACGAAATTGTAACCATTTTCGTTGCACTAACAAAAGCCGACCATCTGTGTGAGATGTTTGCAAATTTCCATCACAAAAATGGCGACAAAATGCATCTTAAAGCTATTTCGACCAGGCTCATTTCATGCTCCGTTTACATCAATTGTTCCCATAGAAGTGGAAATGGTGCTTACCCCATTCATTATGAAAACTTGTCAGAAAAAAAGTTTGCACGCACAGGACAGCAACATTCCTTCTGTTTTGCATGCCCGAAACTTGTGTCTGTGAGGGCTGCAAACGAAGGAAAGTCTTCAACAGCACGTTGACCAGGAAAAGGTAGTACACGTCTAAAATGAAAAAATTTTCAGACTTTGAAGACAAGCTCGCAGGAAGTCTCAAGCAGTTTCGTATAGACTTGGCCTGTCAAGGTAATGGCCCTTGATTAGGCACGCAATCAAGGCGTTTCCTCAGGGGACCTCAAAGCCAGCACAATAAGTTTCACTGTTTATGAGAGTGCACTATGCTTGCCTTTTTTAGGGACAAAAGTCTTAGCTTGTCGGCGTACATTGTCTGTCGTCTGCTGTCGTGGTCGTCTGCTGTCGTCATGGTTGATTTTCTTGAGTGCAAGAGAGAGACCACCTTTCCTCGTCAAGACAAAGTTCACTCTCTTTCATCATCGCCTCAGCACTCGCCCCGTGGTGAGAGAAAGCGAACAGCACGCGTTGACTATGGAAATGCTCCCTTGCTTGCGAAAGTTATGCAACACTCTGCATAACCATATCCAGTGCTACCTGTAGTGTTATGCTAGTGGAAGATTTCTCTTGTGTGTAGTTGAGCAATAGAGATTCGCAGCGTGCACGTTAACTATAGGCGTACCGCAACCTTCGCCATTCCCCAGGTTGGACGTTAGTATAGATGAAATGCCCTTCCCTACATGCTCAGCCCCCCTTTCTAGTTTCATAGTTTCGATTCCTCGCATGGCGGGCAGACTTTGCACGGCTCATAAGCATCAGTGTTTGACATAAGTCGGTGAATTCGCTTATGAGTCGACTCACTCAGACTTACTCAGGTGAAGCCATGAATCTTAGTCTGGGTGAGTCTAGGTCAGGTAATTTTTTGTGAATCTGAGTCCGAGTGAATTCATTTGAAGAAAATTTCGTGAGTGTGAGTCCAAAGTGCAAAATACTATATTTTTTTAGTGAGTCTGAGTGAGTTTCACTTACTTTTGCCCACTTAAGGTTCTATCTAGTCATCTTCAGCATTATTATCAGCCTTACCTGGATTCACATTTATACGAACGTCTACTCACAGGTATTCCAAAGCAGTGTCGTTTATACACGGTTTGGCGGTTTGGCCGTTTCTTTGTTTGGGTAGCTGGCTCCCCACCCTCACCCACATAGTTGATGTTCACCAGTGAGAAGACGCGTTCTTACAAACAGAATGTAGCTTTGTTTACATGATAGAAGAGAAAAGGCACAATATATACAAAATCTCTTTGGCTTTTATGGCCCGTCGTTTCAAAACGCAGAGGTCCGAAGAAATCGGTGAGCACGATTGCCGTGAATCAGGTGACTTAAAGTCTCAGTGGTCCACCCACCAGAAAGAGAATGTGGGCGAAAATGTTCACTGGGTAGCACGAGCGCACCACACAAAGACGCACCCGGCCCCCGTCTTGAAGACTCTATGCAGGGCGAAAAGGTAGAGTCCGTTGGAGGGAAAAAGTTGATCTTTCTGTGGGGGTAGATGGCCCCTGACGCGAACGTCAACAGCAGTTCATGGATGCGTTCAGGTACCTTCTAGAACACTCTAGTTCAGGTGCTCAATTCCCAAGAGCTGTTACGGCAACACTGTCCCACGCTACCGAACCGCCGGTGCTTTGTCACAACCCCGTGTAGGCGACAATGGCCGAGTTTAGATGGTCGAGATGCTGACCTCATTAGAACTGCAACATTGATGCTGTCTCACACTGTTCAACCCCGCTCAAGAAAGGGTTGTTCGCAATGCTTCTGTCGAGTTCCTTGTAACTCGACCACAGCGAACTGCTTGGCCCACCTACAGGACAACATCGTGCTTTGTGCTTTCGACCAGGTGCTGATATCAGGATGAAAGCATTCTTGCAGACAGGCTCACGCACAATTGAGTCTGCTACGAGGAACTGCAAGCCGAAACATTACACTGCACATTTTCTAGTCTGAGTGTGTGTATCGAGCTACCCTGTTTTAAATTAGCATTTGGGTACGGTACGACCATTAACTTTAACCATAGGTCGAACTCCTTGATAAGAATTGGATTCTCGCACATAATTTTAAAGGCCTGTATTTCATTTTGAGCAATCGAAACCAATATCCTTACTTTGTTGAATTTCGAATATTTTGAGTAGTAAAATTGCAGCATCACTCGAACCAAATATTAAGCACGATTAAAAAAATATTCTAAAGTTTGAATATACCCCTCTGTAGCATATTTACATAACCATATAAAATCATCGAGCTCGCCTGGTTTATTGAAGATTCACTAAGAGAATCTGCACAGGGCCGAAACTTCATTTTCTTGTTCATAGTGCTCCAGAAGCTGCTGAAAAGCCACTAATGCTGTTTATGTTTCTCATTTCTTGATACGACCGTGGACAAATTTTAAAATCTGCAGAAAGCACAATTCTGGTACTAACCAACGCCGAAATTTGTTAAATATGATGGAAAATGAGCTGAAATTGAAAGAATTGATTGGCATCATGAGTACACTAATGTCAGTTGTTTGCATTAACTAAGCAAACATCTTCTCTATTTTTGCAGGTACTGTTACAGTGGGCTCCGTAAGAAGTGTGAAATGAAGTCACCTACGCTGCCAGACCTGTTGGCATGTGAGGACTCGTTGACCAAGGCAAGTGGTGTTATTGCAATCATCATGATCGTTGAGCAAACTGGGAGGGCAGGAATGCACAACAGACGAAGAAAGAAGCACCGGTACACAGAAGATTCATGATTTACCGACTGGCCCACTTTCGATCTTTTTACAGTCATCATGTTGTGTCCGGTTGCATAGGTATCCAAATTTTACAAAAACTTTTGATTCTGTTGGAAGCTTAGTTCAGGCTATGCAAAATGCGCATTTTCAGAGATTGAAAACAGGCTGATGTTTACAAGTAAAAACGTATCTCAGGTAATTAGTCAGAAAGACCTCACTACAAAGGTGTAAAGGTTGCTACCCCCCCCCCCCCCCCCCGCTGGATAAACGGAGTGAGTGGAATTATACTACAGTGACCTCGAAAATGGGAATACTCGACTGAAGAGGGTTAAATTTTTATATACTTAAACCTGCTTATAATGAACCTCTATATAACGAATTCCTCGATGTAACAAAGTTTCTCTATTCCCTGCTGTTACTCTATAGGCGCACATGTATTTGCGACCTCTATGTAAGAAAGTGAGAGCAAGAGACATCCTTGATATAACAAATTTTCGCAAAGGACAAATAGGAATTCTGCCTCAAATTTTATCATTTCGGCACGAGAATTCATCTATCTTCCGCGATTGTCCCGCCGCCGAAGAAGCGCCAAGCAGCGGCGGCGTGCTCGTGACCCCTGCAACCCCCAGGCGATAGTGAGCGCTAGTTATTGCAGACCACCGGTGTTCACGAGGTGGACAGGTGGGTCTGCGCTCCAGGGTGAAGTGCTCTTTTCGCGTTGAAAGCGTACTTATGCTTACCAAAACAGCACGCACACCAGCAATTGCGACTGCACCCTTAAAATCAAAGGTCACCTTCGCTACTCAAGCCCCCCCCCCCCCCCCCCCCCCAACCTCCGCTTTTTAATGCTCATTCAAGGCGGATAGTCTCCTTTCTGCCTGAGCATTCGACGGCAGTTCTAACATGCGGGGGGGTGTTATTGTATGCGTTCTCCAGGTGATAAAAATGGGCCGGCTCATTTGATCTCTGCTTTCGCTGCAGCGCTTGCACGCTTTTACATGAGTGGAGCATGGCATCAATTTTAGACTTGTTAATTTGTTATGGAACATGTTGGCGGTGATGGCAAAAACTCATGGAGAGTGTCCATATAATTGCTATCTCAATAATCTCGCAGTGTTTTTCCACTAAATAAGTGTTTTGGGATAGCTCTGCTGTGAGTCCCCTTTTGTTTTTGTGCGTTTATTTTTCGAATTTGCATGCCGAACCTGCATATAGCGATATCTTCTTTACAAAAAATTTTTCCAAGAATTTGTCAATTTCGTTATATGCAGGTTTTACTGTAATATGCTAAAAAAATGCAGGTTTGTTGCAGTGATAATTTTAGGGGAGAAGAAGAGAGAAAAAAGCCACGGGTAGTCGCTACGAACGTTTGTGTACTATTACAAAATTTATATATGGCTTGCGTATTATACACAGTTCAGTTATGCTTTGTCCTCGCTAAAATTTTGGAATGTTATGCTTATTAGCTGATCTCTGCAACTTCACTGTTATGACTTCAGATCCCTTTTGTTACAACAATAGAACAGTGGTGCTTTTGCGGAATAACGAAGTATTAAAATTTATCTTAAATCGTATGACGTGCCTCATAATTACATTGTTTGGGCACATACAACTTATAAATTTGTTATCATATAGTACGTACGGTCAAATATATAAACAAGTAAACAAATCAATGCTCTTTTTGTCATTTCAGTGGTAAACTCTTTATAAAACATAGGTACACATAGATACAATCCTCATGGATTGAAGTGCAACTTTTTAGGGCTAAAAAGTACCTCCTTCAGTTCGTGTCATATCGATGTAATTTCATCTCCCTCATTTAACATCAAGGCGAACACTACTTCACCTTTATTGGCCACATTCGTAAGGACAAGATGCAGTGATCTCAAGAAATTGCACATGCCAGTTGTTAATTTGAATGTTGTGTTTCATTCCATGATCACTGTACCTATGTTGGCTCATTGTTAAGCTTCATTATTCGTTGAGGTGTGCGAAACTTCAAAAGCTTCGAATAGTCATCGAATATTTGATCCTTTGTAATATTCATTCACTTATGTTACTGTAAATAACTTCTGATTCTGCGCATTTACGATAAGTGCAACAGTAAACCATGCAGTGATTTCTGTGACTTTAGCACAAGTGCTATGATACCTGCATAGAAATACACGGGAGCGTGATGATACACGAGAGCATGACATATCTATCAACAATAAACATCTTAAACTATCTAAATCATGAACCGTCGCCTCAGCAGTACATGTGGCTCAGCGGTTTAGCACTGTTACCGCTCGTGTAAGCACACTGTAAGTGTACTGAACACGCTGTTCGCTGCTGCGCCTTTGTGTACAGGACCACTTCAATGAAGCGCGCATCGCTCGTGGAAGCCAAGAAAACTTGCCACCACCACATTGGCCTGGCAAAATACGCTTCGCTTCTTTTGCACGGTCCGGTGCTGATCGAGCGCAACGAAAAAAAAGAAGTCACTGCGCAAGGGCAAATGCACGCATACTTCACAGCGAGTGGTGTTGACAGATTGAGTGAGATTAGTAGACCCTGCACTGCACGCTACAAGCTAGGACGCTAGGCTTCACAATGCAGCAGGTAACGCGTATCACGTGGAGCTGCACCAGTTTTCACTAATGGATCACCACCAAAACTTGAACTGCATGCATGGACGAAAGCCTGACCAGTCATCCGTCAGCCGTGCCCCTCTTTCAGCAACATCAGCATGTATTCTCTGTTATAGTATCGAAATGATTTGTTGGTAGCACCCGATCACGCAAATGAGCTAAAGTGCTTTCTGGGCGATGATGAACAAAGAAAAGGCCATGCACTTTCGGTAACGTAACAATGGTCTCATCACATATATTTCTCTGTTGCTAATGGCTACGCGTGTAGGTGGTGGAAATTACTGCATAGTTACGCTGTGTTCCCAACAGTGTCTTAGAGAATCGGTCGTACACGCATCGCACTTACATGGAGTCACTTTCTGCAATTTATCCTTCATAGCTCCATTGCTCCGATCTCGTTGTTCTGTCAACGTCAGTTTACTGCCATCAGCAGCCAGTGCACCGAAGGCACACTTGCAATGCGGCAAAATAGTGCCCCCAGAACTGGGAGTTGTGACTCCGTTAAAAGGAAGAAAAAAAAGCTTATTCGGGTCGTCTTTCTGTCAGGGAATAGTAATCATCTATCTCACATGCCTTCCTTGCGTTATCATTGCGTGCCCGGTACTCTTCAGTCACGGTTGCGCAGCTATCAGCGTGACAGAGCTCTCTTGATAGAAAAAAGTGCCGCCATATCCACAAAGTAAATAATGATAAGTGGGCGAAGCTCTAGAAGTAAACCTGGTAAACCATGAATGCTCGGTATATTTTGCCCACTTTATTTTATAACAACGCTCTCCTGAGCGTACGTCGCCGCACTCAATTGAACGATTGCCTTCCACTAATGACACACGCCATATGTGACATCATTCCTATTTTATAACACCTCGTATCTTTCATTATCAACTACAAGTACTGCCATCTAACTTATAACACCTTGCACCTTTTCATCATCAGTAGGGTGCCTTGATGCCTGCGCGCTCCGCTGAGGGTGAGGACAGTCGCATCGTCTGCTACGACCGCCGCCATTGCGCCTCCCCACCACAACTCGACCGTACGCGAAGCCCGCTACGCAACGCTCGTGTGGTGCCCTGATACGCCCTGAAACGTGTGCAAGCTAGCGAGCTTTTCTTCTTATTGAAGCTTGGACATCTTTTAGAGTTAATTTTGCCTGAATGCATGCAGGGAGTGCATATTTCATGTAAGCTGATTTATGCGCATGATTTATGCGCTAGAGGCAGACGCTGACTCTTTCATGTTGAAAACAAACCCCTACGCCCGTTACCACAGAGGGGATTCTGAATCTATATCGGTGGTGTCGTTTATATGCTTTCTTTGTTAGTGTTAATTATTATCTGAGGCTTTTACGTTCTAAAATGACGCCTGATTGCAGGACTGCAGCAATTTTGACAATCAGTTTTTTTTTTTTGCCTGCACTGACACAGTACATGGGTGTCCTCTGGTGTTTTACGTTATTCAAAATGAGACCGCCGTGGCCTAGATCGAAAGCGTGAGCCTCGCGTCAGCAACTGAGCACCGTGCCCACGGTACCACTGAGGCGGACGCCTTTCTTATTGCCTTAACTATTTCTCTACGATCTTCTCATCGCACAACTTGACTTGTTTTTTTTTTGTTTTTTTGCGACATAGCGTGTTCATTCTACACAGCGGTGCCCCGTCTTGTCTTTATGCATCTTCTTTGTATGGACGCTTCACGAGTACAGTTTGCATAAGCACTTGCGTATAATCCCTGATAGCTCACAGTATTAATAAATAAATTATTTACTTAAATAATAATGCGTGCTGAAAGAGTTTAAATACTGACGGTGTGTGTGTGTGTGCGTGTGTACACGCCTGCCGTTTCCCCTATTATCATCCAGTGTAGAAATAATTTATTTTTGTGCATTAATGCAGCGCTGCCAGAAGCAATTCAAATTATACGCTCCATGGCAGAATTCACTGAGTATTGTCACTAGTTGCTTCGCAGTGGTCGTAAATGATTAAAAAAACAACATCAATTGCGTAATGATTCGAGACAGGACGAAAAGAAAACTTGAAGTACAGGAACAATGAAAAAAATTTGAACTGCACACATTCTTACAAGGGTCATCACACCAGCATAGAAGGCGTACCTAAACCGAGGAAAAGATCGTAGAAAGAAAGAACCTGCGTGGCTTTGTAATGGCTCGGGCGCTCGAACGGTCGGTAATCGAATTCCGGCCGCAGTGGCCCCACTTCGATGGAGATTAAATGCCGGAGTTCTTAAACTTAGGTGCAAGTTACATAAAAACACCTGTTCAAAATTGCCGAAGTCCTCCAATGTATACCGCGTCTCTCGTGATCATATGGTGATTCCGGAACGTAAACACACTCTTTAAACTTAAGTGGGTACGACACCGCCGCTGCGCAAAGCTTTATTCCCACAAATGAATATTACGAAAAAAAAAAAAACAAGGATATCATCTGCAAAGAAACACGTGTAATGTATCTTTAATAATAAAGTTCTCATCGCACATAGTGAAACCAAGAATGAAGGGCAGATACAGTACCAACCAAGAGCAGCAAACAATGTTTACGAAGTGAAATACGCGATTCATGCACACTAGAATCAAGCATACAGCCGTCAGCGTGTCTGTTGCTTACACGAAATTGGTGCCGCTACAAATTATGCATGCGGAATACCGGCTGGAAACTTACGCTGTGAATGGATGATCTGTTTGTCGGATGCCACTTGTCATGTTTGATTTTCATTGTTGAAAAGGCCTTCATTTCGGGTCTCTTAGGAAACGATACAGCTTCCAGAATTTTTGCAATGATTAGTGCCCTGCGGCACGCAATACCCGCTACGGTGACGGTAGGGAGCGCATTAAACCGTAGAAAAGCGAGCGCCAGCACAATTATTCAGGCGCAGCGAACACGCAGAAGTGACTGAGTGGAGTCAAAATGGCGGCCATGCCACCGCTAAGGCCGAGGAGGCGGCACCTGCCCTTACAAAGGCTGACACCACTCTAAGCGGGGGCGCGCGCATCGAGGCACTCTAATCATCAGCTACAAGTACCGCCATCTAGTTAACACTGCAGGAACTAAACGAGAGGTGGCTACATACAGGGGACGGTACCGCCATTTAGTGAACACTGCAAGAACTAAACAAGAGGTGGCTACATACAGAGGACGCACAGCCCACGCCTTAAGGAGCTTCGCCCCTAAAATAGTGAGCACGTAGTTCTTGAGAAAGAGAATAAAAGCGAGCCAGGTGAGGAGTACTGCTGGGAAGTCCAAAAACGACGAAAGTGTCCCCTTTTTTTAAGTGTGTCGACCAGCAAAAAGATGGATGAAAGTAAAGAAAACGATAAAGCCTGGAGTCGTCGATGTCAAAACTGATAATGGATAAAACTGATAATGGAAACTGAACCTGGATAAACTGACCAACTAGGGTGCTTTAATAATTGCCTGGATTTGAGTAAAAGGGCATTAACTGTGACGTTTCACCTCATCGGAATGTGGCTGTCATAGCAAAAATCTAATCAGTGGCCTCATGCTTTTTAGTCATCATGGTAGGTGCAAAAGCTTTCTTTTTTTTGTAATAAAGTGCTACAACATAGAAAGAATAAAAAAAAATACAGGCACAAGCTCAGCTATTCAGCACAGTCGTATGCTTCTTGGCAATACAGATAGTGTCATTTCTTTGTGAAATAACAGACTAGAATACCTAAAAAGGCTACTATTTTTAACATAAATGGTTATTCGATATTTGATTCATATTCGTAGCTCTGTATCCGTGTTCAATCGTATTCGAAAAGTTTGATATTTGCACACCGCTAATTATTTGGTTTTGGATGTCAATGACACTCGCGAATGAATCCTTGTATGCTCCCGCATGCAGGAGTGTCCTCAGGATGGCTCGGAGGAGGAACGGGAAGAGCTGAGTCAGGCCTCGTGGCTGCTGGTGCGCGAGTGGGCCGAAAGGGTGCTCCGGCACAAGTTCCCCACCGTGCGCCACCTCGCACGGCATCTGGTGGACAGCACATTTGTGGACGCCCGCTCGATGGCCGCTGTAACCGTGCTCTCGGCCAAGGCCCTCGCCACCGACAAAGGTGCGCCCTCGTTTGCCACTGATGCGCTGACATTACGTGCCTGTCTCTCCTTGTGTTAATGTTGAGCCTCCTCAAAGGTGATGACCACCTTTAGAAGCTGGGCAGGTTCTTGTATTGGAAAGAAATTAAACCTCTGAACAAGACGATGCATTAACTCACTATGTGTTCAATTTTTTGCGTTGCACGTTCTCCTCTCACCTCTTTGCTTCTTTTGTTCAAACGTTGCTTATTGACACCTTCATCGGGTGCAAAATGTTTGCCGGTGTTTTTCACGCTAAGTTTTCTCAAGGGAATTGTACCACTTGTGGGAACCTCCAAAAAAATTCTTATTGTTTGCACAAAAGTTTTATCAGAAAAACGTTTGTTTGGAAACACCTTCCCACAGACCATTTGAGGCCATGTGCACTTGTGGCTTCAGGTTTTCAGTATTTGAGATTATTATGGAGGGGCATGTGAGATTATTATGGAGGGGCATGCTGTTCAAGGGAGCCATTTGCCAGGCTCTAAAAAAGAGGTTGGTGAATTTTCCCTGCAGTGTTGTCGAACCATGGGCAGGTTTCACACGCAGTGGTAGTGTGCCGGCTGTGCTTCGCCCTCGTACCCAACACTCTGCCACATTGTTTCGGTCTCTCTTGTGTCTATGGAAGCTCAAGATGTGAATGAGAACAGCTCTATGATTCTGCTTCGAAAATGTCTGCACATGAAAAGCAAATGTGAAATTAACTTTCCAGGCCTATTCTACTAGCACTAGGCTTGGCATATTGTAGGTAGGTAAAAAACAACGGCCAACTCCCCCGTGAAACCTGTCCACAGTCTGACTTTAATAAAACTTTCTGTGCTGCCTTGTGCCATATTAGTTGGGGCCAGGTCAAGTGGCACAGACAAGACATTTGTTTTGTCTATTGAAAAAAGAAAAAAAAGAAAGAAAGAAGGCTACAAAAAGATATGCCATCACTGGGATCTTCCCAAGCAACCACCTGTAGCCGGATTCTGCAACTTCCCCGAAGAGCTCCACGAAATTGAGCAGATTGACAGCTATTGAAGAAAATTTCAAGATTTGAGACTCAATACACCCAACATCTGCAGCCTAAAGAAAGGCCCCTCTGCCTTCGTTTTCTCTAAAAGGAAAAGAAAAATTTGTTTTTACTAATCTTCTTTCCTTTCCTTTTCCTTTTTTTATTTTAGTTTTTTTCCCTCTTTCTTTTATAGTGAAAATTCTTTGGCTTTTGCCGTGTTGATCTTTTTTTATTGGTAACGCCCATTATACTTGTGGTACGAGCTGGGGTAATTTATTTTATTTATTTATTTTTATGTATGTATCGTATCAAGTGTGAGGTCAAGAGCCATTTTGCAACTTTTCCGTGTGAGGAAGGGTACGTGTTTGGTGGCATCATGAAAAATGCCGATTGGTCTAACTGCTTTGCAGGTATGCAAGTGTATATTGTGCACTAGCTGTACTTCTTACTTGTGGTGCATAAGTCACCGAACACACAGAGCTAAGGAATGGCATTTTTATATGACTACAGTACCAACACACAAGCTGCTGTGGTAGTGGCTGAGCAATCGAAGCAAACAAACCAGTACAGATGGTTCTATGTGGGATCCATGGTTGGCCAGCAACCCATCTACATCACGAGGCTGCACAGTCTTTCATTTGTGCAATCCTTGAGCAGACTGAACCATCCTTGCAGCGCCTGAGGGTGGAAGGAGGCTAGTAAACGTGCTGTAATCGTCAGCCGGCCTGTGACAACCTGCTGGCCTGTTCTGTGGGATGAAGGCAGGCATGCCCTGTGCCATGTTGGGCCAATTCGTTATTCTTGGTCTCTTTTTCTTTTCCCCCTTTTCTTTAAAGGGACACTAAAGTCAAACAACAATTTACTGTCAGAGTGAAAGCTCAATGTATGACAACATCTAAAACGTCAGCATTATGAACAACAGAGCCCTACCTACCGAGAAATTTAAGTAAATGCACAGGACCGCAAGCGCCGCAGTAGGCCATTTTCCAAATTATCCCGATAACATCAGACGGACCGCCTACAAATAATCACTAGTAATAGATCTAACTGCACTTAATAAAGAATGTGTCGTGCATTAAAAGACGCAATAAAATGCTGCTTGTTCGTTTCTGTTTGATTCATGAAAAAGGAATCGCTGGATGTTACTATGGCGAATGGTGCGAGTGGTTCAAAAATTCTATTTTCGCGTGGTTACACAAGACCGGTGGTGCCATCTTAGCGGGGCGCAGTTGAAACAAAAGCGTCTGCGATCTCGAAGCCAATGGCGGGAAATCGATCAATGGTCGTTGTTGCTGCTATGGCTCCCGCTGCTTTCAGTCTGCTGCTACTAGCGCAGTAAATCTGGGCAACGTTGTACATGGCAACAGTGACGTGAGACGAACCGGTCGGTCCACTTCTTGAGGCGAGTAATTTGAAGTGCGCTAACCCGATGCGGAGCACTAAAACATGATTTTATTTCAAAATAGGCCCTTCCCTGGCACAAAAGTATTACTACGAGGTCTCTAGAGCACCATTTAAACAATCAACGTCGACTTAATAGTTGACTTTAGTGTCCCTTTAAGGTGCAGCGCTAGGGTATAGACAGGCATGGCGCATTCCGCATGCCATTTCTGGCTCACGTTAGCGACGCTCATCTTACAACTGTGTGTCTTACTTGCCTTCTGCACCATTCGTTGGTGCACATCACACACTTGTACGCAGTTTGCTCCTCTTAGAAGTTGGAGTAGTTCGTCGCCCATGTCGTGGAGGCTAGTCGTCGAAGGACAAGTATGACATCCTGCATATAGGGGACAAAAATGTAAGCTAACCAACTGCCAAGCAATCGGTTTCACACCGTCCACTCAATGCACGATTGTCGGTTAGTGTGACCACATAATGGAAAATATGCAACACTATAGAAGCAAAGATGGCACATCATGTGCAGCTCAAGAAAAGTTACGTTAACAGCCTGCAAGGAGTCTATGATGGCAGAGGTGAGCATCAACAGGAGTGAACATAGAAGGTGGTAGTGATCCGGAGGTTGGCACCAAGAACCGTGTTGTTACTGCCAAAGAAGACTGCGTGACTTGCGGTTCGCATACAATGGAGGACACTGCCTGAAAGCTTTCCTCACCACACCTTCGACAAGCGAGGAGGGATACAGTGCAGACTGTAGCCATGATGACCATGGCAGCAGCCAGGAACACAGCATGCGCTTGACACGTTGAGGCGGGCGAACGTACTCTTATTTTTCACGCATTCCAAAAGGTGATCGTTCATAAATTGGGCAATAAGAAAACAGACACATTTGAAGCTTTTCCGATAACGAATAGGTCCACTTCTTTTTAAGTTTCGTATACATCTAAACTATGCAAATCTTGGGTCATGAATATTTCAGATGACATCATGAGATTTGTATCGGTGTTGTTTCACTACGTACTATTGCCATACTTGATGTACGCTTGTATTTCTACCATCTATGCTGCTTATATTTCTATTAATGTAAACTCGGTGTGTTTGCTATTTTTTAGTGAAGAACGCTATGCCAGGCTGACGATGCATTTGTTGCTGTGACTTAGCATTGGCAGGTGCATAGCATCAAAGGAGATGGCTCAGGTAGATGAACGCTGTTGTTTGGAGGAAATGAAACCAAAGGGTTGAAAAACATTTGTTAGGGTTTATGCCTGCAAATCAGATTGTCAAAGCACAAAAAGCAGGTGGTATCATCTGAAGCAATCTAAAGAGAGACACTGTGAATTTGTTTGTTTTTGTTCCCTCTTGGGAGTGTTGTATTGGGTACTAGTCCCTACGCATACTTACAGCGTAGCATTGAAGTCCCCCCGCCCCTCCTCAAGATTCCCTAATTCTACACTGCTCAGTTTGTTTTTTTTTTTCTTTAAGACCTCATGCACAGCATAACCTTGGCAGATCAGAAAACTGCATAATTGGTGCAAGCAAGGCTGTGCAGTACTGAATGGGAAAAAAGCTTCTGCAATTTTAATCTTCAAGAATCACCCAGCTACATTATGCAGTAAAACTCTCCTGCAGCGAAATTCATGGACATTGCAAAAACTTTCGTTTTAGCAAGAATTTCATTGTTGCAGAATGTTACACAAGCTGCCACTCTAGCGTCGCCAGCGCGAAGTCGGCGGCGGGAATGACAGCAGGGTAGTTCGTTCCGTGCGCAAGCAGAGACAGTGAAGAGATCAGAGACGTGAGAAAACAAAACAAACTTTACTCTAGTGATATTGCAGCACACGGGATCTAGTACAACACCTCAATACAACTAACAAAATACATCAACACTTGATACAACTAAAAAAAACACATAAAACAATAAATCAGCTTACGCGAGAGAACTATTACAAACTACACAAACTAACAACAATAGAACTACGGAGGAGAAAGTTCGAAGATATAAGCAGGTGAAGGCATACGTGTGATGACCGGCCGCGTTGCGTCCCCTACGATCGGATGCGAGAAGTCGAAGAGACTTCTGGCACTACTGCGATGTCGGCGGTGTTGCAACGCTGGTGGCTCCGGGAGGCTAGTGCTTGCAGGTGACTTCGGGCAGGTTGAGCTAACTCGAGGCGAAGTCCCGATGTCTACGTTGCAGACGTTCATATCGCGTCACAACTAGACGAACGGCTAAGTTTAGGTGGCCAGCCGATACAGAGCCACACTAAAAACTTCTAGGAGAGATGCTTGTTGATCTATTTCTACACCATGTTGGTCAGCGACTAGCAGGGCAAAATCCTGCGCCTAAAACCTCCTCGTGTCTCCTCGCTCTCTTCCTTGGGGACAAGAAACCTCTACATGGGTCCAATCATGCGCGTTTAATTGATGGAAACTCCGTCCTAAAAATATATTGACACCACCCCTTTTAATTGGGAGAGGGCCCTCAACTAGCGAGAGTGACAACCTGTTGGGTTGTTGTCATACGGCTTGGCCACCAGAGATTTTCCCACGCTTTTTCTCGTGGGAACGGTCAAACTGTTTGGCTCTCAGCCGGTGCATCTCGTAGTCTAATTCTTGTTCGGGGTGCATCGTGGCCTTCCACGACTTTGCAGACGCCGCCGTTACAATAGGATCAAACCTCCGCGGCGACGTTCTAAGAAAAGCACCCCATTCTGCACTTCTCGGCTCCCTTTCATGCGCCCGCCGTTCCCACTGTCAGTTGGGAAGTACGGCGCCCGTTAATTGCCGTGAGGCCGGGTCGCCAAAATTGGCCGTCCGTGACACAGAAGTAACATAAAAATTATTGAAAAACATTTTCAATGAACTCAGGTAGCAGTTTACTTCATGAATTTAGAAAGGTCACGTAGTTTAGCCTGTTTCTGCGTTGGTGCCATCAGTGTTCAGAATGCATTGGTTGTACTCAATGAGGAGCTGCATGGCAATGTCATCATCCTTGTAAGAAAACTGGGTATCTTTATTCATACATCTATATGCATACGACAGCTTCACAGCACTCTCGTTTTCCCTCGGTAACTGTAAGGAAATCTCTACTTAAGACTTTAGAAGGCTTAGGAGCTTTAGAAGCAGTTTGCTTCCTTACAAAATGTAGAGGAGCAAGCAGTGTGACAATGTTGTAGCTGTTCTTTTTTTTTTACTTATTTTCAGGTAGTCAAGCCAGCAATACGCCCCGTGCCCCAGGCAAGCGGAGAGAGGCACAGCAGCAGCTGCAGCGCAAACTGCAGGAGAAGAAGAGGCTGGGCGACCAGAAGCGCAAGCTCACCGAGCAGCGCTCCCACTCGGCCCACTCTTCGCAGTGCAGCACACCAACCGAAGGCCGTTCCTCTCAGCACAGACGAGTGTTGGCTGCCACACCACAGGGCAAACGGGACCAGGCCTCCCTGTCCCTGGTCTCCTGCGACGGAGACGTGGCACGGAGGCTGAAGGAAGAGCCCGCAGAACCCAAGTTGCAAACCTCTGCTACACCGGGGAACAACATCATATTCGTTCCCACCGTGCAGAGCCTGCAGCTTGGTTCTCAGGACGCCAGCGGCGCAACGGTTGCCACGGCGCCGGGATGCAAGTACAAGAAGATCCAGCCCAAGCCTGCCACGTGCCGGAGCGCGGCAGTGGTCCTTCACTTCAGTCGGGAAGGCAGCATCACCACGCCCACGGCTGAGGTGGTTTCCTCGGCTCAGTCGCCTGTTGTTGTTGCAGAGGCAGCTGGGCCGCCGTGCGGCAGCAAGATCGGCAGCATAGCCTCGCAAACTGTGCTCCAAGAGCCCAGAGATAGAGTGAACAGCAGCTCGGACTTGGATGCCAAGCCCAGCACAGAGGTGTCTGCGGGAACCACAAAGAGGCACTCGGAGGACGGAGAGACCCTGCTGTGCAAGAGACGGCACACTGACGACGGCATTAGGACACCCAAGTTGGAAGCATCCAGCCTGGACCTCCTTATGCCTGCCCATGGGTCAGTCAAAGAGGAAATGTGTGTGGGCCACCTGGAGAAAGAGGCACTGAACGACTATTACGGCAACACCTCTTACGACGCATCGGTTTTGGAGAGGTTGGCATCGAAGGACGAACTTTCACAAGGGACACTGAGCGATGAAGTTACTGCACAGACGATGAGTGAGGTGACTAAGGCCCATTGTGGGGAGCACAAAACTGCCCAACTTTCTCAGTTGCGGATGCTGTTGGAGAGGAACCTCCCAAACTCGTACCAGCGGCAAGATGTCACCAAACTTTTGAACACTGGGAAGCAGAGCTCGGGCTTGGATTGTAACAGTTTGGACCGGCTCCTCTTGGGACACTTCGATAATCTCAAGAATGGAACATCGCTTAAACAAGTCACTGTGCCCCAGAACAGTGCATCCTCTTCAACAGTCCACTGGAAAACAAGTGCCTCGACAAACTTAGTCTGCAAAAGTGCCGGGCTGCAGCAACAGGAAGTCTTTAGTGCCATTTCCCTTGAAGGACTCGTGAAACTGAAAGACACTATAGCAGATCCGGTGAACCTTGCATGTGATCCGAGCATCCAAGCGTCGTTAGACCAAGTTCTGGTTGGGGCCACCCAGGCATCCGTAGCGCCCATTCCTTGCAGCCCCAGCAGCCGGGGACGCTTTTTCACACCCATCTCTCCTCAGACGACTCCCCACCCCGACAGCCTCCTGCCCTCCCTCTCTTCCCCCGTGATGGCCACCAGCACAGACATGGTATCGGTAGCGGTAGGTACGTCTTCACAGCCACCGAGTGCCACAAGCAGCCCATTTGTGTCACCGAGAAGCACACCAGTACCTTGGACGAGGTCACGGCATAGTTCCGGCCAAAGTGGCTACAGCGGCACACCTCGACAGACGCCCTTCCAAGCGGTGGACTCAGGCGTGTCGTCGGTTTCTGGTTCTCCCTTTGTGTCGCCTCAGAGCACACCGGTGACGGCCGGTCGCGTGCGTCACAACGCCACCTACAACCCTGGCAAGGTAGTCACGTTCACCAACGGCTACAACGCTGTGCTGCCAGGACGAGCCCGTCACAGCTCGGGACCGGGTAACCCACCCTCCCAGCTCGTGTCACCACGCAGTGCTCCGCTGTCTCCCATGGTGGGTGAGAGTGCCACGCAGACCTCAGGATTCTCGTTTCCGGCCAGTTGGCGAGACACCCACATTGCTGCGTTCACGCCACAGCTCCGCGTCGAGCGTGCCGCCACCTTCTCCTCAGTCGGCCCCTATGTCGCCGCTCGTGTCATGCCCACCTCTGGTTCCCTCGCTCAACGACTGTAACAGCTTGGTGCCTAGTGACACCGACTCTGGCATGGGCCAACCGCCGTCGAGCCCTGGCTGGGTGGCGGGCCTCAAGGAAAGCATAGCAAATGCCTCTCTACTTTGGCCGTCAACTTCATCATCCGCAAGACAGCGCCACGCCTCAGGTCCCGCCCTGCCCCAGCGACTGAGCGTGTCCGGAAGTGACCCCCTGGCTCAAGAGATACAGGAGTTGTTCAAGAACACCACGCTGGCCAGTGGTGTACCTTCGGCCAATCGCAGCCGCTCTGTGCCCGTTCACCAGATGCTGCTGCTCCAAGAGGAGATGGAGCCTCACGGTTTGAGTGGCATGTTGGACAACTTCTCCAAGTCGTACCCGGCCACGCCGAGCATGAATCAGTGCTTTAATTTCCCACAACAGCCAGCCACAACCTCTGACACATTGGCCTACACCGGCGGCGACGCATTGGCACAGCAGGAGGACGTCTTCTTGGCATCAGACTGGAACAGCAGCACCCTGGAGACCGAGCCAGCGGTGAAATTCGAGGACAATGATGACTTTGATGCCGAGCTGCAGTCTACCCTAGAAGACCTCAAGGACTGTGATGAGTTCTCGAAGTTTGCTAAGGAGTTGGACTTCACTGCTGAGAATGAGGATGACGAGATGACCTGAGTGGGCAGTGAGATACGTTCTCTTTAAGAGCTAAGCTGCTGGGCAGTTGGTGCTGCTGGCAGCCACATCTTTCCGACTCTCTCAATGCAGGAGTGTTCTCGTACATCGAAAGTTGACAGGGGTGCAATGTTCTTGTTTGAAGTAACCATGGAGTTCTTAATAGAAGAGTTGTTAGACCAGGCCAGTTTGTTTTTTAATGCAGGTTGCTTTTTGTTTAGATGGTCCCTTTGTAGCACTTTGCTATCAATTATAGGGCAATCATAAGTGAAAACTTGGCTCCATCTTAGATATCTACAAAACATGAAGTTTAGACAGATTTATCAGCGCAAAAAATGATGAAACTTCTAGAGAAGATACACACACACAGCACTGTGTGTTTGTTTCTTCTCTTAAAGTTCCGTCTTTTCTTGTACTGATAAATCTGCCTAAATAATCATGAACCAACTCGCCCAAGCAGCTGTTTCAGTGAAGTTGTGTTGAAGTTCATTATAGAAGAAAATTAGGTGCTGCTTTCACCATCTTTTAGTCTTCTTGAAAAAATTTTGTGTGTCAGCATCATTTTATATTTGTACTTGCCATCACAAGTGCTCATTTTCTAATGAAGTGGATGTAAATTATCTTGCAGAAATGATATTGTATATGCTGTTCTTTTAATTACTTGGTCAATATCTGAAGTAAACAAATGTAAACTTTAAGGGATCATTTTTTTTACTCGTTAGACACAATATTAATGAAAACTAACAGACAACACTGCCAAGGCAGTGTTGCTAAAGAACCCCAGGTGGTCAAAATTTCCGGAGCCCTCCACTACGGCGTCTCTCGTAATCATATAGTGGTTTTGGGACGTTAAACCCCACATATCAATCAATCAATCAAAGCAGTGTTGCTGGCTATTGCTCATTAATATGAATGAATATCTTTAACAGCTGGTGCATAAATTGCTCTGGTAATTGTTTTTTTTTTTTGCGAATAATCTGTGTATTGGCTTGTAGACAACAGCAATGCAGCTTTTCCACTAGGTAATTGCAAGGAACTCCATGGTTGCCTACTGCATAGCTTGTGAATCGAGCCATGGCTGGCGTTGAAGGGGTCCTAACTGTGGCTAGGTGCTTAAAGGGGCAGCAAATGCAAAATCTAGCTGAATCTTTAGTTTAGCATTGAGAAACCCTGAAGCATTTGCTTTGAGGCAGCAAAGTAATTGAGGTGAAGAAAGAGCTGCGCATTCTCCTTTTAGTTAAGTTGACTGCCATGAATAGTAACTTTTTGCAGCTAACAAATCATTCTTGGAGTTTAGTTTCTATTACCTACTCATAGTCCGAAAACCGCTGATAAGAAATGTGAAGATCTCTAAACAAATGCCTTTTCAGTGTAATGCCAGAACAGCCAAGCTGCTTGGGGAAATTTCTGGATTTTTCTATGGTCATTGGCGTGTGCTCCACTGCTGTCCAAAATCCACCTGGTACCTCATACTCTGCCTGGTACCTGTTACTACTTGGTACTTCCCGTTACGTCTGGTGCATATCCTCGTACGTTTCACCAGCTCCGGTAGCAACAGCATCTGGTCTCTCACTCTGACAAACTATTCATAGATCCTTGCCAGTACCAGCTACCTAAGTTAATTAGTGATTTTTTTTACTGATCTGTCACATCAGATTAAATCTGGAGCTGTATTGAAAACATAACCTCAGTGTGTCTTTACAACACGAAATAAAGAGCGAGCCTGAGCTTCATCAGCGCCTGTTGCCTCGGTAATCGAATCACAGTGAAAATGATCGAGGAAGCGAAAGTCGGGTTCACTGCTCACTACGACAAAAAGAAAGGGAGAGAGAGAAGGAAAACCTGTGGCTGCCAATAGCACATGTTCTGGCTAGCTGGGTTTCACGGCTCAACCGTTTTACCTGTTGTTCTTACCTGTTGATTTAATCGCCTTTTTTTTCTTCCCCACTCTCGAAGCACTGTTGATTTTATTGCAGTTGCGTTATTTCGTGGCGGAAGGCAAAGCGAACGGAAGTGCTTGCAGAAGGCTCCTGTTGAGTAGGCAGATAATGTCACCTGTTTGTAATATATATATACTGTATGTGTGTAACTTTATTTCATTGAGAGCGCACAGATTTTAAAGCAGAGTAGCTTTTAACCTTTTTCTTCTTATATCTCCTCTTCAACGAATCTGATACGTTATCATTTGTACTTTTGACCCCAGTACAATAATAATGCCATCTTTGTTTCTGTTCATACCATCTTTTTTTCTTCCTTAGTGTAAAGTGTTCGCTTTATTCACTAGCACAAGTGACCGAGTTGATTTTCGGCGTGTCGTTTCAGAGGCGTAAAAACTCTGTAGTAGTGTGTAGAAGGCTGGTCACGATGGGGTTAGGTGTAGCGTTTGGTTTTGGTGTGGGAGGGAGCTGCAGAGCTGCAAAGTTTGCTGTCACATGCTTTATTGCATGCGTGGGATGTTGTAGTAGAATGTGTCATGCGTTAGCAGAAATGGTTTGTACGGCATTACGATGTGCTCCTTGTCACTCGAAACGGATCGGTAGTCTGAATCAATGAGCCTCACTTATACTTTTTCATAGGGATAACTTATGCATGGGGTAAAAGAAAGCGTGTGTGAGATGAAACAGTGGATAGTGGCAAAACATTTTGGGGGACCTCTTGTGTCGATGGGCCAAGATTCAAGCAGTGTGCTAACTTCTGCCTAGGGAGTGGTAATTAGATTGATTTTCTGGATTTTCTGTCCAAGGACATTTTAAATATTTAAAAGAACTTTCAAAAGTGAGGGTTAATTACTGGAAGAGACTTTTTTAGTTTTTACTACATTCGGTGGAAAACGTTAAAAGCTAGAAAAAGCTTTGTAATTAAAAAAAGAACGGGATCCAACTCTCAGCTGCTTTCTTTGCATGATCCATAGATCGGGCTATGCCTTGGAATATTGATACTAACTGGTCAGTAAAGAAACCTTCATGAAAATTCTAATAAAAATTTAATCAAACCGTGCCTCTATTGGACTTTTTTACTAGATTCAATTTGTCCAGTAATGGCCAAGCGTAGGACTGCAGGTTGAGCTCTTGGCTGCAGTTGGCACGTTTCTGCATTCCGTAAGGCATACAGTGCAAAACCCATGATCATTCTTAGACTTAGCTGCACATTTAGGCACCCGCTGCATTATCTCTCTTGAATACCTCAGATGTGTTAACGGAGTTGCAGTAAAAAGTCGGCATTCGTAGACACACTAAAATTTTGATCAATGTAGAATTAAGTCTGTCGTGCTGGTTGTATATTCTTGCAAGATGTAGGAAAATGTGGTAATTTCTTGACGGACAAATCAATTAGGCACCTGAAGGAGATGTTATAAGGAGGCAAAATTTAACCTCGCGCATGTTATATAAAGCTGAAATATCGATTTTCTGCTAATAACAGTTACATTCACAATAAAATCTTGTTCCATTGTTCTTGTTCCATCCATGTTTGATGTTCCAGTTGTGTGGTCATGGTACCATTAATTGCTCCTAGTAGGAGATAAATGTGTCCGTTTTGGATTCCTCTACTTTTATTGGACATTACCTTTGAACACAGCAGTAGCTGGATAATGAAGAGATATTCATACCTTGAAGATGATAAAGCTTGCACCAATGAGCATTAGAAATGTTTTAGAGGTGCCCGAGAGTGCAGAAAAGGTGATGCATCGCTGCCAGTGCCATTCTTGCATCCCTTTAAAACAAGACGAGCCCGTATTTCGGTCGGTTTAGGGCAGTTGAGACAAACTTCACAGATTTATGCACATGCTCCTCTTTACGGAAAGCACGAGTTATTTTATTCTGCACTAAATACACTTAACCAATACACTAGTATAAATATAGTGTTCTGATCCTATCTGTGAGATGCTGATGATATAATTTGTGTTTACGGAATTAATTGTTACTTTGTGCAATGTTGTGTGAAGTAAGTGTCGCTGTTGTCACGTGTAATTAGCGTAACCGGGCTGCCCAATTAATTGCTCATCAAGTGCAGGTGTAGCACATCTGAGAAGGCGACCATGCAAAGCAGTAGATGATAACAGTAATTGAGAAAGTCACCAGCGATTCGCTGTTCCAAAGCAGTATGGGAAAAATTAAATCATTTAGCTAACTAGCAGGGTATGTTTATAATCACCAAATAAGTAGCTGCCACAAAACTCTTCAAGTTGAAATTTATTGAGCCTAATTGGCTTGCATAAATTATGGAAACCGGTAAGGCATAGCTTGCATTCATCCTGCTGCCTCATTAATAATTAAATTTTACATGTAGATGTTACACTTTGATTCAAGTGTACTAGTTGCCCATCTCACCCTGATGAAAGCGTAATTGCACATATGCATTAATGTTAGAAGAAGAAGAGTTATTAAACAGGCAGTGTCTTTTTTCACGTAAACATGTTTTTTGCCGAGGTAATCACACACTTTGTCTCATACTGTGATTTATATTCTGAATGCAAAAGTGGGTGTTTTGATGGGTATGGAACTTACACATTATAATAAGTGGACCATACAGTGCCACCTGTATATAAAATTTGGTTATGATAATTGAGTTCATATCTGTGTAACTGCTGGAACACAACATGCATATTCCTTTGAAATATGAGGAACAGGTATAGCTGTCTCTTATCATTGGGGGAAGCAATCCAGATGTCAGGGAGCGGGAGTGCAGTTTCTATAATCTGTGGAGTAGACTCCCCATATTGCGTTGGCTTCCTCACCCTCCCATAACACGGAATTGGTCTTTTTAATTTCAAACTTGGAAGCCATTTCTTTTTTGCGTTATCCTTCACGCATAGTGTATTCCTACAGCAAAGATGTCTGGTTCACTCTGTCAATTCGCATCTGGTCCCCAAGCGTGTTGCACCTGTACCGGACCATACAACAAAACTCGTGCCTCTAGCCGAGCCTATGAGGCACTCGGGATTGTTTTGTTTTTTTCTCATGCATCAGGCGTATGTTTGGCACCCGGTGTTCTGTGAACGCGTTATGAAGCTTAATGGTCTCAATAGTAGCATTTTACCGGTGTACCTGATCGCATGGGGCTTGGCTAGTCGACTTCAGCAATGAATTTTTCGCAAGTGCAAATTATGATTAACATCACCAGAGAAACTTTTTTTTTTGTCTATACAGCATTTTGCTTTCACGCGCAAAGTCGCAGGTTTGACTGCCGGCCATAACAGCCACATTTTGTTGGTCTGATCAACAAGAGTGCTCGTATACCATAGTTAGAGTGCTTTGTCGTAAATGCTTAAAGGAAGTCAAAATTGGCCTACAGCCTTGCAATACGGCTTCTGCCAAGGTCCTTGTATCGATGTTTATTATCATTCCCAGTGATCCAGGTTTCAAAGAGTTAATGGGGCAAGTTTCTGTCGGCGTTCATTGCCATTTGTGCTCTGTCGTGATATCGTATATACTCATGTAAGGGTCGCACCCCAAAACTTGAAAAGCCCGAACTTGGAAGAAAAAAAGAAAAATTCAGCTGATAGCAAGAATAAAAATTTACAGCCGGCATATCCAAGTATATTTGACAACCTCTTTAAAGTAACCGGAACCTCTAACATCATGGTTATGGCAAAAATTGCTTAATACGCAAATTCACTGGTGAAGTGAGCAAGCATTAGTGGCTGCATAGCTCTGACAAGGACATGATAATTTGTACTGCTTACAAACGAGCTTTCAGAGCGCTGAGTATAATGTTTGGAACATTTGCCCACGTGTGGCCACTCCTGCACTTAGCACGCATATTTTATCCGCTTCCGGAAAGAAATGTGGACTTAGGAGCACACGTGTGATTTCGTAGTTGCTGTTGTGGAAGGTTTTGTCAGTTTGTCCTGTTTGTGTAACCGTATGGTTGGCGATGTGGTTGTGTTGAGGCCGACAGGTTTTTTAGAGTAAATTGCCGTATTGCCATATTGCTTTTAAAAGATTCTGGCAAAAATGACACTTCGAAATCATGTTAGTCTGCTTGTCGTCCTGCTGTGAAAACGTTTAGAGAGATGAGGACAGTAATAAATAGGGACAATTAAGTTTATGTCAGTTAATAACAGTAGCATTGTAAGTACATTCATGTTACATCTGAAAAAGGTGCTATGTTTGTTCCATGGAACTGCAAAGCGGATAGGACAAGCTTATGTGAACAGACATTTTGCAATGTCTATGCTGTCCGTGAATGACACATCTTTGATCATTGTCGCCGTGGTTTCCTGCAAAAATACTACAGTAAGTCAAATAGTGTATTGTTATGTGAATTCACAGAAAATATTCCTCTCGGTGACTGGCACAGAAGTATTTGCGGGATGAAAACGTGCTAAAATATGTGGAAACTTGCAAATTTTTCTCAAATGGCGGTGGCACAATGTAAGGATTCAGTTGCAAGTGTGCCACAGTCCATTTTGGAGAATTTGTTGAGCCATTCAGCTATGTTCACTTGTCTCTGCAATCATTGGTGTCATGGCATAGCTAAGCTTGTTTTCAATATTCATGTTCTGCGGAAGACTTACATTTGTTGGAGCACAGAAATGCAGAGCACAAGTATTTTGCAGCCTTGTTCATGGAGCCTGTGCTGAATTCTTAGGTCTTTTAGATGTAGCTTTCACTAGATTTCACTCCTTTTTCATTCACGTCCTGTCAATTCCAGTGATAATGGTGGTGGAGCGCCTCGTGGTGGAAGGAAAGTAAATTGTGAGAGTGCGCAAATGGGCCCTCTCAAGACAACCATTTATGGAAGCCATATGCCTATTGTGTTTGCCCTCAAAAGGTAGACCTAACATCCAACCTTGCTCAGCAGGGTCAACCCAAGCCATTCTGCCGCCTTGCATCGGTAGAATGGCATCCTACCCTTCTCTCATTGGCCTCTTGCCACGCCCCTCATTGGGAGCAGCCAACGAGGGAAGAGCAACAAGCCATCTGCGATGGTTGGTGCGTCTGGGCTGTTTGAGGATAAACACCTTCCTTCTTGGCCGCTCTGACTACTGAATGCAACGGAAAAGGGATAGCAGTGAGGTATAAATATTCGGTTCTAGGCAATTGTTCTAGTGGCCCCACACTTTGCGATGCATCGATTCGTGGAATTTTTCCGCATTCACTTCACGTGTTGCTTGAAGGGACGAGGTGAGAGAGTTCCGCGATGACCAATGTGTGATTTTGTTTAATGGACACGAGGCAAGAGAAGAGTTACGGCATTTAAGCTGGCATGTGTGGTACTTGTCGTCACTTTGGCGTGTTTTACTTCTCACTACATCCACTTTTAGGAAGTTTCTGATTTTCTCTTTTCGTTTTCTTCTTTGGTATCTCTAGCTATTGTACATTATTCCATTCACTTTATTTTTCTTGGTTGAGATGATTTTAGCGTGGCATTTTAGTTAGCAGTCGTCGAACTGGTTCAAGTCAGCAGTCAAAGAATTGTACTGGACAAGGTGGCGTTTGCACAACATTTTTATATAGTGCCTGCAATAATTTTGTATATGTACATGCTAGGCTGATATGTATGTAAGAAAAAAACTTTTCGTTGTGTTTTGCTGTTGTAGTACAGCTTTTAATAGCGTCTTAGAGTTACATTTTTTTTTTAAGCACTGTGAAGTATTGTTGCCCGTTATCATTGCTGCTACGGCAGTGCTGGCAGTGCAACGGTACTCGCAAGAATGTTGATATTGTTCGCACCTCTTTTTTTTTTTTTCAATTCTTGCACGCTTTTGGCACAGTGAGTGATCTTGTGTATACTGTCTTTGGCAGATGGATATGCAGTTTCTTGTGAAATAAAGTGGCGAGGTCGATGGCCGCACCATCCGCGGCTGTTTACGTAAAGCGATTCCCTCGGGAGCCTTGCCCAGGGCAAGCCACTCGGCGAGAACGCCTGTACAGTTGAGTTGAAAAAAAAGTATATATAATTGTGACACTGGTATGACAATTAATGTTGTGAAGCTGTACGTGCCGTTCCAGGGTTCCAACTCTTGACGAGCAAGGCCCTTTTTGCGGAATGTTGCCCGCTTTCTGTTGCTGTTGTTGTTTTCAGTGGAGGCATTCACGTTTTTCGTGTGTTTCAGCGTCATTGATTCGAAAGTGCCGTCAGTGCTGATGCCTAAATTGGAAGCTGGGCCCATGCCCTTTGTTTTAACGTACGGTGTCCACACTTGAGGTGAACACGTCGCACAGTGCCCGCGCTCCGCGAGCGCCAGTGCATTCGGCGCGGTCGCGCATCGAGGCGGCGCAGAGGGACCCACAGGATTTGCTTGGAGTCGTCTGCTACAGTGCTCCGCTCACGCTTTAGGCCCCTTTGGACTTTAGCTTTGCGGTAGTACAAGAGCGGCACGCTCCTCTGCGCCTGTGCAGCTTCGCTTCGATGCGCGGTCACGCCGGGAAGCGCTGCCACGCGAAGTCTTGTTCACTTTAAGAGGGGATGCTTCTGAACATGTCGATTGTGGATATTCAACCTGTTCACATTACATTGGACATGGTCAACGCCCTGTTTAAAAGTTTAGTATTGGTCATGGTAAAGAAGCAGTTTTACTTGATTACGTACCATATCCTTTGAGAGAGAAAATTTGAAATCAGTTGGCTCACGTTCCTGAATAAACCACCTTTAATTCAGCTTATACGGGTCAAGGTGTCATTTCTTTAAGTTGAGCAGGCGTCGTCAGAACGCTTGGATTCCGTTACATTGACATTCAGTGCGGTATCCAGGTGCAACGTGAATAATCATTGGCGGCCCCCGTCAGTGCCAGCAATACGGACCTCGTGTGAAATAGAACAAGAACAAGTGTGTTGGAGTTGGAAGAATATGAAGTTTCAACATTCATTGTTTGAAGTGTTAAACCCACTGGTACCTGTGTTAAAAAACTTAGTGTGTCGTGAATCTCCTTTAGAACGGACCAGAGAACCACCACGACCTCCTAGCTACTTACTCCAGTGTCGCTATCTAACTTAGGTAACACAACACTACGAATGGTAAATCTCAGAGCGACAAAGTAGCGAAAGTTTGCGCACCGTGGTTGCCTTTTAGTGTACCGGACACGTCGTTGCTATAATAACAAAAAAAATAGTGGACCCGTAGCTTAGAAAATTATGAGACAAGTTAACGCGCCGAGATAATAAACGGCCACCAGTTTGACACCATCACGAGCGTACAGCCCGTAAAAAGAAGAAAAAAAAAGTCCACGCATCTCCACGAAGTTAATCGTGACGAGTGGGGTGAAGCACTGGGAAGTCCGAGCGAGTTTGCTTCAACAGAATTGGCGCGCGCAATCGCAACACGTAAAACTACCTTCCAAGCTATATTCGCTCCTAATATTTTGGGCGTCTCTCATAATCATATGGTGGTTTTGGGACGTTAAACCCCACATATCAATCAATCAATCTCTTAATATTTTGTAGACGGTTTACGCATGTGCACAAGAATCTATCCTGAAGGCCGCAAGATTTTATCAGTATCTTTAAGAAAATATCGCTTATATGGGGAGAATTTTCGCTGCGCAACTACAACGACTGTTATCTACCTCTCCTGCTTTCATTCAAGTAGCAGTATGTCATCGAGAATCGACTTCTGCAAGGACTTCGAGAGGCCGTCAAGTACGAGCGGGGGATTCGCCGCACGCTTTCCTCTCCTTTTGTACCAGAGAGCGCGCTGAAAGCTACGAGGGTTAGAGTAAGCGTATATGCTCCAGTTGCGCTCACTAAAACGAAGGAACGCTACTGTCTAGGTGACCTAGCGCTCACGATCAAACCACAGAAGACCTACCAGTTCACACTGAAACTAAGCCGTGCGTTCTGAGAAAAACAAAACGAAGTACAAAAAAATTCATGAAGAGCGCTGTCAAACGGGCATAGATTTCTCGCCCCTTGTCATCCCTCACCTTGCGTAGGCTACCTTGAGAGCACTTCCTCCGTGCTTGGGAGCATATACAGCCGTGCAGTTTCTCTAGTGGGTGCGATGGATTGATGGATGGATTTATCGATGGATGGATGGATGAATAGATGGATATATGGATGAATTATTTGATATGGCTGTACCCTTTAGATTGGGCGGTGGCTAGCGCTACCGAGCCGTAATACTTATGGAATCAAAAACTAGATTTTTTTTTCTTTAAATAGTGAGGTTGAGGACTGGTACTTTGCAGTGAAGGGTTTAACTTTCACTCGTGCCTTGGCTTTAGCCACCAATCAAATAACCTCCTTCTAGTTAATTCTACCCACTTAAAGTCTATTTTGCCCTCCCTGTCCCTAAACCCCAGTGCTTTAAAAACTCTGCGCCATCATCCCGAACTACAGGGGGAAGCCTTTTACAGAACATTATCAAGTGTTCGGCAGTTTCCTACTCCTCTCCACACGCACTGCATACAGTGTCTACCCCTTTGTATTTGGCCCGATATGTCTTGGTTCGCAATACTCCCGTCCTGGCCTCAAACAGTAGAGAACTACCCCGAGTATTATCATAGATCCTTTCCTTGGCAATTTCCTGCTTAAAAGTTTGATATATAGATTTCAAGTGCGGACTTCTTAGTCATGCCCATTCTCCACATGTCAGTCTCCGTTTCCCTCACTTTCTTCTTAACAGATAGTTATTTTTGGTTTGGCCCCCTGCTGTTTTCCAAATATTTACCCGTCAATTTTCTGGTTCGCTTCCTCCGTTTTGTATCGACATTTTTCATGTACAAGTAGCTGAATACCTTCCTCGCCCAACGCTCCTCCCCCATTTCTCTCAATCGCTTCTCAAATTTTACCTTGCTGCTAGCTTCCCTGCCCTCAAATGATGTCCATCCAAAATCACCTTGTACGCCCTGATTTGGTGTATTCCCGTGAGCTCCAAAGGCAAGCCTACCTATTCCACGTTGCTTAATTTCTAATCTTGCTTGAACTTTTGATCTCATGCACAAGACCGCATTGCCGCAATGTCATGTCATGTTAACGTCATGTTACCGCAGACCGCAATGTCAGACCAGGAACCGTGACCCCTTTCCATATTCCTCTCACAACATCATACCTATCGTAATTCCACAGTGCCCTGTTTTTCATCACCGCTGCATTCCTGTTACCTTTAGTCGTCTCATATATTTCGTGTTCCCTTAGGTACTCGGTCCCATTGCTTATTCATACGCCCAGATATTTGTATTTATCTGTCATCGCTAGCGTGACCACGTGTATTTTACGCTCACAACCTTCATTATCATTGAAAATCATGACTGCTGATTTTTTCTTACTGAATCTGAAATCTAACCTATCTCCCTCATTACCGCAAATGTCCATCAATCTCTGCAAATCTTCCTTGTTGTCGGCCATTAGCACTGTATCATCTGCGTACATCAATGCTGGTAGTGCCTGTTCAATGAGTTTTCCCTGTCTGACGAAAGAGAGGTTGAAGCCAAGTCCACTTCCCTCTAATTAGGCTTCTAATCCTTGTAGGTACATCTTGAATAACAAGGGTGACAGAGGACAACCCTGCCTAACCCCCTGTTGTACCTCTGTGGGCTTGGATACCTGCTTTTTTCCACTTTATAACTACCTTGATACCTTTATAGATATTCTTTAAAAGATTAGTGACTCCATCTTCTGCACCTAGTGTGTCTAGTATTCCCCACAAGTCCCCTTGAACCACGCTGTCGTACGCTTCCTTGATATCCGAAAATTGGTAGCCACAGGGGCTTGTGTTCCTTTTTTGCTATTTCGATGCACTGAGTCAGTGAGAACAGATTGTCCTCCAACCTCCTGCGTTTACGAAACCCATTCTGCAGTTCCCCCAGCACCCCCTGATCCTCTATTCATACCTGCAGTCTTTCCTTTATAGTCTGCATCGCCAGTCTGTAGAACACTGATGTCATTGTTATAGGATGGTAGTTATTTATGTCAGCTTTGTTCCCCTTTTCTTTATAGATCATGCTCATCCTGCTAAGTTTCCATCCATCGGGGACTTCACCATCGATTATTATTTTGCTCACTACCTCTCTCAAAGTCTGCTTAAACTTCAGACCCAATGTCTTTATCAGCATAATTGGAATGCCATCTGGGCCTGCTGATGTACTACTAGGAACCCTCTACTCAGCCCTTTCCCACTCTCGTTGTGAAAATGGAGCCATTGCACCACTTGGTTCATCCTTGTCTGTTGTGGTGCATAAGACACTTCTTTGTTAAAATTTTTCTGTCACCCTTGTTCCTATATATTCAATAGCTTCGTCCCCTTCTAGCCTAGCACCTTCAGTGGTAGTTACAAACCTATGCTCTAGGCTCGTCTCATTTCTTAGGTAGTTTAGAGGGTTCCAAAATTTCGCAGGTGCCTTTCTATCCTTTTTATGTCCTTCTGCCAGCCACTGAGCCCCCTTTCCTCTAATATTTTCATTGATCAGAAGGGATGCTGCCATTCTACAGCTTAGAAATATTTCCCATTTTCTTTCAACATCGTCTGTCGGTTCATACCGCTGCTTAGCATGTCTGTGTTTCCTAGAGGCTTCCTGACATTTTGTTATGGCTATTTTAAATTTCTCGTCCCACCAACTCTTGGGTTTGTGTCTTCCTTTCCGGGTGACTTGTCACGTGCCTAAGCAAGCTCCAGCTCGAACAGTCTAATTAGATTTGTGTACATTTACACTGTTTTGTTATCCTCAGTGATTACCTTTTCAATTTGTTTAGTAACTATTTCCATTTGTCTTTCTGAATAAAAATTCCCCTGTAGTTGCTCATCTTGTCTCCTTCCCACTTTTACTGCTCTTCCAAAACTTAGCTTGATACGTTTGTGGTTACAACCCAGATTTCTGGAGCCACATTCATCTATGTGCATTCCCCTGAGTCTATCATACATCCTATGTGACACCAGTGTGTAATCCATCGTCGACTGCTGCCTTCCCATTTCCCATGTTATTTGCCCTTCACACTTCTCATTACTGTTGCAAATGATCGAATCATGCCTTTCACGCATATCCAAGATCATTTTGCCTGTTGGGTTGGTATACCCATCTATATCTTCTATGTGCACATTCATATCTTTTACTATAATAGTCTCGCACTCTCCTCCTAATTCCTCAATGTCCTTTGATATACACTCTACCATTGCCTGGTTTTCCTCTCTGGCCTTTGCTCCGGTCCACAAGTACACCAAACCAAGCAGTGTCATTTGCCCTGCCACTTTCCCTTTTAGCCATAAATGTTCCTTGCACTCCTGTTTGACCCTTTGCCAGTCTTTACTTTTATGAATGAATGCCCCAATACCACCCCCCTTTCAGCTGCCTTCTGTTCTCTTACAATATTCCCACGCGTAGTCCGGATTGTTAGGAGGTTGTTCCATGTCCCTAAAATGTGTTTCTACAAAACCGTATACCGTCGGCCTCTCCTACCTTAGCTGTTTTTCTATTTTCTCACTTCAGCCTGTCCCTGCCACCCTGCATGTTAATATACCCTACGTCTGAATTGGCTCGGCCCTTTTGGCCACATCTATTTCTGCCCCGGACTCTACCTGTCTTAGATATTGGTGCCACTTTGAAATCGTATCTGTCCATAACACCTGTCAAAGAGTCTCCCTGGTTGTTTTCCTCGTTACTAGCTATCCTGCACCCCGAAGGGCCCACATTACCCAAAAAAAAAAGCTACTGCGCGCCCTGCAAGTCGCCA